CAGGTATCACGTTCATTGCTGATGATTGTACTGTTAATCAATGTATCCGGCGTAGCTACTCGATCTTATCGGGAAACTGCAACGTACTGTCACGTAACCGCAGTGCGCGTGCGAGCGAGTGAGCGAGCGAGCAATCGAGAGAGAGAGAGAGAGAGAGAGAGAGAATGGGTGAACGCCATCCGATATGCTCGAGAAACGAGGCTGCGCCGAGAACACGTTATACGCGTCTCTCTATAATCGTGGAACGGGTACCTTCTGGATAATTGTGTACATACAATATCCCGGAACTCATACACTTTCTCTTGATCAGAGATACCGGAGATAAAATTAAGAGAAATCTGTTGTTCCAACGGCACGGCGTCGATAATTCTCATATCGCAAACGAGAAAAAAATAACGCGAATTAATTTTCTGCTAAAATAAAGATTATACAATGTAACAGTTAATTTAGTTAATTTTAAATGTAGTACGTTGCAACACTGTTAAATCTATAATGTCAAATTTAATCTTATTTAAGTCAAAAAATCTTATTTAAGCCTCCTATTTAATATATAATTATTTTAAACTAAAACAATATAGTTATTTTTAAATAAAACGATCGAATTTAATCCAAATTTGGATAAAATTTGAACTGTTTTGAATTATTTAATTCCATTGTTTTAATTTAAAAAAACTATTTATTAAGTAGGAGCAGTGGCGACTTGAATAAATTTGACACTAGATTTAACAGTGGACCAAATTTGAAATTGAGATAGAGTACGCAAGATATGTATTTGCGCATATAACGACGTACGCGATACACTTTTCTCTATTGCACTTTGTTTGTTCATACTGTAATATTCCATAGTACGTTGTTTCCTTATATGATCCAATTATTTGCGTGCTTAAAACTTTCGACATAAATGCTTGAACGTTAAAGTAAATGTGTTTACTCGTGTTCTTTTCCGTTACTTTAAAAGACGATGAGCCGTAAGAGAGTGCAGGCTATATCGTATTCTCTAAAATGGATTAAATTCGTGGAGAAGATAGGAATTTTAAAGCAAATTTTCTGACAAATTCCATGTGTTATCAGTATTTCATATCGTTTATATAACGCATATATGAGAATGAAGAACTCATTCCCTTAATGAAAATTCTTACTAACTTTGTATTTTTAAGTTTTTACAAGATTTGCATGAAAATTGTATTAAAATTTTTCAACATGTCTATACAAAGAGCAGTCTAAAAAAAGAGTTACCAGAAGATTAACGCAAAATTCTTTTTAAAATCATCATATTCTAAGAATCGTATGTAATAACTAATACAAAAATACAATGTAATTAAATTTTCAGAATATAAAACGTAACATACGAAAAATTTTCTGACTTTTGCACCAGTAAGTTTTATTTTCCGTGACATATCACATTTGATATGTTCTAAATTAAAATAACTGCTGCAGAAGTAAAAATTAAAAAATAACGTTATGTCTCATAAACAATGTAATATTGTATTTAATTATTCGTTTTTCCACACAAATATATATTGCAAGTAGTTTCGTAGCAATCCGTCATTTTAACTCTTCGTGGATTTATTTCGACGGAGGGATGTAAAACGAAGGAAAGGATTTGCACAGCGGAGTCAAGAGCTTCAAAGGCTGGTATAAAAAAGAACGAGTTTCTATTATCCACAGAGATGCACGAAAAGCCTTCGGAATATTCCGGTAAAGCGTGGGATACGTAATCTCGAGCATGTGCGCGACAAACGAGCTTCTCCATTATAGTTTATCGTTTCGCGGATCGAAACGCTACAGCACAATTTCCCGTTTCGATTGATCGATACCACGACGAGCTGGAATCACGAACGTTGTATTTTTCTACTTCTGCAGCGTCGCGCAGAGCAAATGTTGACTCGCGCTTGTTTTGAATTACGTCTCTCCCGCATCTCCTTATTGCGCGTAGTCTCAATCGAGCGGAGTTCTGATATTGTTTAAACGAAAAGAGAATACACGATCGTTGCTAAGCTACTCATGGTGCGCGATACGTTTCTTTCAGAATACATGTCGTTTTATGCATGATAAAAATGACGTATCATTTCAAACCTCTATATGAACCTAGCATTCCCACCACTAAAAGTTCGATTATATGGCACAATTAAGTGCTCATTTATTGCTAATTTACTGCTTTTCTATTCGCGAATTTATTGTCCCATTCGCAAGAAATTATTATAAAAAAGGGGAATGCTGACTTCACGTTACGCTTATAATATCACTACTTCTGAAAAACACATACAGAGTCCTGTAAAGCAAAGAATAGATATACCAAAATTTGTTGTTACTTTTTTGCTCTAAGGTAATACAAAGAAACATCAGGAACTTTGAATAATTGCAGTGCCTTACTCTTGTACGTGCGCTAGCACCGTCACACTTCTGATGGATCTTTCTCGCACGTAAAGTTATTAAACTTCATACAATGAGATCATTTACTAAATTTGAATCTCGAAACTTTGATTCAAATCTCACGTGCAGAATTGTACTATGTTTGAAATTGTACCATCTTATCCCTTATAAAATAGTCGATTTATTGATCGGCAGACATTCTGACATTTTTTATACGTTGATAACAAGATATTCGTCATTGATCAGCGAGAGATGTTCTATCCTAAAAATGCGTCTTTTAGCTTTTCACCATAAAATCCTTCGTGCATTTAAGGTAGATAAAAGGAGGAAGAATTTTCGAAAGAAGTATTAAGAAAGAATATTACAGACGTTTCTTTAAGCTTTTGAGAGCCTCCGATTTCAATTAAATCCATCTTTTCAGATCGTGTTTTCAATTTAAGCGCGCACACAGCGGCTTTCGTTACAGCGAGATGAAATCGCATCGCTCCATTATGGTTTATCATTTCAGTATACTGACGGAATTGCAGGAGTTTCGGTACGATATTGGTCGCGCGCTATATCGATCAATGATACTCGCCATTGTTACATCAAACTGTACACGGGCAGGTTTTACTCGGAATGTTGGATGCAGATATGATCCACTTGATTTTTCCCCAGTGCCGCTACTCGCGCCGTCGTGCATGTTCCATTTAAAATACGTGTACGAAACTTTTAGTGAATTTTTGCGTAGTATTTTGCACAAACGTACCGTTTACAGTACGATAGCACAGGTTAATCAAAGTCACACCGGACAAACGTCAGCTATCACCGCGATCTATATTCTAACGGCGCATCGGCAAAATTAAATTTGCAAATCGACTCTGACGATTTTCATAAAATAAGCTGCGGAAACATTGTGTTCACAAAATTCGCATTTATCTTTTTGATATAACGGAGGCGAAAGACGTTTTCGCGAATTTCCAAAGTTTTTCCTCTAATTTTCACGCCCTGATAATAATCGGAGCTCAAACGGATCACGATCGAGGAGCCAGCTCTCGTGATTCGCCAACTGGTTCTACAGTCAGCTTGGGCCAAGGAATTAATAAGCACCATCGCGAAGCCTTCGAACCTTTTTGCCCGCCATTATCCAAGATAAACGACGGCCTCTCGGAGCGGATGGGGGCACTCGGCGGATAGGGGGAGGCAAAACTTTCGAATCGCTCTTGCGTCGAATGAAATTCTGCGGAGGCGGACGCTTCTTACTCGCCTGACGGGGCCGCGCGCGTATTTCGCCGTTTTCTCAGATCACCGAACAAATGTTGACCCAGTTTCGCCGTCGGATTGGACGTTACTCTGTCTTTCGAAAGTGCTGACTGGAATACGCGATGAGCGAGAGAAGTTCGGAGCCGCGGCGCGCGCGGTCCCCTCTTCCTTCCACGCGCGGGCAGAAACACTCGGGGATCGCTGGACCAGGTCCGAAATTCGGCGAGAGAGATATATATATTCTCGTTCGCGCGGGTTCTTATATTTATGAAACGGCAAGCTTCATTGCGAGATAAAGCTCAACAGCGCAATAATAACACCACTTTTACGGATAATTTTACTAGAACAACTAAAATTGTTAATAAATATTTAGTTACAATTAAATTTTTTAAGCATATCTTTGAACTGGAAATTATTAAAATACTGATTTTTATTCATAAATAGAATTAAAAAAAATTAAATGAAATTCTTTTCTTCATACTTTGTATAACTTATCGTATGAAGCTATAATTTTATACATTTTCTGATTAATTTTATTTAGATTTCTATCAGCACCTGTCACATGTTAGCTGTGAACAATGACACTTTACAAAGTATAAAGTCGATAGTACTCTTAAAGGGTTAAAGTAGTCTCTCTCGAGGGAACCGGGGCTAAGTTGACTCACCTCGTTTCGCGAAGGTGTCTCTTATTACGCGTTGCTAGACGAAGTTCCCGTAAGCTCGCGCTAAGACACAGACAGGCGCGGAGGTCGGTTTCAATGCAAAGTCACCCGGCCGAATAAAGCCGGGAACTGAATGAGAGATATAACAGGGTGCTCACTCTCACCGGTAAGAAGCTCGTCGGCGATGGTAAACCGTAACTCGGCGGACGTTGCGGGAGATGAATAACGCTCGTGCACAGTGGATACGGCTTAATATAACTTTTTCCCGTGTACTCCCGTTCTTTTTCTCGCGCTTCCGCGTCTTCTCATTACGTCTTTTCAGCGTCGCGAGCAAGGAGACGGATAGGCGACGGCGGCGGCGGTGTCTCCCTCGCAATTCGAGTAATTTGAACGCGCATCTGCGTGCCGGGTAATAGGATGCATCGCGCTTCCCGAGCTCACCCGATACTCCAAGCAGAGAAGGAAATATCAATTCACCCGAGACATATTTTATTCGCGAGAAAAATACATTTATTTTAAATTCAGCATGTGAAGTTTCTATTCTTTTTATAATTCATTTAATAAACTAAATTTCAAAGAGAATGTATTAAAAAAAAAAGAAATACTGCATATCAGTAAAACATAAATTTAAAATATCATCAACAAAAATTTCATACAGACTGTCACCTTTATATTATATCTAAAAGAAACAAAATAAAATCTTTTCGCAAAAAGACATTCAAGATGGAGTTCGCCAAATGTATATCACGTCTCATTTATATTTCTCTCATTGTATTGCGCGTACCTCTAACAAAGACCACCACCACGCCATTTCCGCCAACGATCGAATCTACCATCGAGTCTACTGTCGTCGACTTGAGCACGACGCAGGAGCAGGGCGAGGTAGAGATGCCAAGGGTACCGCTGACCGAGCAGGTTATGGATCACAACATACGGGTGAGCGACGTGCCCGACGTGGACCCGGAGGCGACGGACGTGCCGGATTCCAGCTTGGACAGGAACCAGGTGATCCGCGACGTGGCGTATTTCATTCGCGCCCACAAGTTCCACGACTACGATCATCGGTACTACAGGAGCGCGGAGGAGGCGACGAGCAGGCTGTACGAGGAGTTCCCACGACCCGGTCTGAGATCCCTGCACTGGGAGGTGCGTAAGCACTGCGAGGCGAGTTTCGTCGAGTGCCTCAAGTATCTCGAAAGGATCATTAGGCTCACGGCTCTCAGGCGCGAGGACGACACCGTCACGGTCGTGAGGGAGCAGAAGTGGAACCTGGCGAACAATAGCGAGCAGATGCTGGCCGCTCAACGAGACTGCCAGGTAGCCCAAAGACGGGACAATCTCACCGCAGCACCGTTTCAAGGTCCAATCGGCAAGTGCATCGATTCGTCGTAAGCATACCTAATCACGCCGCCGAAGCATAAAGCTCGAATTGCACATGCTAATGGCTAAATCGTTTTCCAATCGAATAACTGAAATAAGTGATAGATGTGATTGCATCATTTACTCTCCTCGAAATTAAATCCAGATATTAATATATCTATACAAAATCCGATCTTTAATGCTATAAAAACTGACAAAACGTGAATCTCGAATGTTTTTACGTTAATCAGGTATGCATAAGTTCTCACAAATAATTAAAAAGTGATGTAGTTTAAAAAATAAATACCGCTACAAATATAACTGTGATATATAAACTTCTTTAGAGTCATACGTTAAATTACACTTAATTCTTAAAGACAGGTCAAAGAGACACCTCAGATAACTGTGTTAATCATCGCTTGAGATAGCAATAATACAGAAACGTGCACGTTTCAACAATTATGAATAGTTTCTTTGCGCGAAGAGTCTTCGGATTACAATACATAAAAACCAAACCGTTCGATTCTGACGTAAATCGACGAGTTAATAGAGATAATATCAGGATATTATTTCAGTCCGCAGACGAAGATCGTTGAATGCTATTTTCAGAACGCTTCCAATGGCGCACCACCGTCAGCTATTATATGTGCTGGTACACGATGCTGGGCGTCCCGGACTTAGCTACCTTCGGCGAGCCCTGTGACAATCACGCCAACTGCCTTGATGAATATGGCGTTCATAACAAGGATCCACGAGCGGACGACACGAAATCGTACGCCTGCGCCCTGTACAGCTTCTGCCCGGACCATTGTTGCCCCATGAAGCACATCCGGTACATGAAAGACTGTTATCAGTCGCAGAGCAACCCTTGCTACGCTGAGAATCAACCAGGTGCGTAGGGACATCCCGTTACAGACACTTGCATCGCGCTCATTTATACATTTTCTAACACGATGCCTGGATCAGTTCTACGTAACGCGCTTTAATAATCGTACTTTGTCACGTCGATAAAACTCGCGCAGCGCGATGGATGTATTATTCTTAACTAATAATACAGAAAACAATGTGATTTCTCCGCGTGTTTTTTAAGTAATAATACTTAAAATATCCTTTTTTTATTATCCTTTTTTTACTATCCTTTTTCTAGTTCTAATTATTATATTTTTTTAGAAAAATTGGCTATAAATAATTATAACCAATTTTTCTAAGAAAATATAATAATTAGAACTAGAAAAAGGATAGTAAAAAAAGGATAATAAAAAAAGGATATTTTAAGTACAATTATTTAAAAAACACGCGGAGAAATCACATTGTTTTCTGTATTATTAGTTAAGAATAATACATCCATCGCGCTGCGCGAGTTTTATCGACGTGACAGAGTACGATTATTAAAGCGATAAAAAGATTACTATTTCTTGGAATTGTCAACTGTATTATTAGTTAAAAGTACGATTATTTATAGCCAATTTTTCTAAGAAAATATAATAATTAAAACTAGAAAAAGGATAGTAAAAAAAGGATAATAAAAAAAGGATAGTTTAAGTATTATTACTTAAAAAACACGCGGAGAAATCACAGTGTTTTCTGTATTATTAGTTAAGAATAATACATCCATCGCGCTGCGCGAGTTTTATCGACGTGACAGAGTACGATTATTAAAGCGATAAAAAGATTACTATTTCTTGGAATTGTCGACTTGCTAAGTATTACTGTATTTCCCACAATTAAAATTTGCTTGGATAAATCAGTGTCGTATTATGGTAAACTCCAAAGACTTTGTTTAACTTTGTGCCTCGTTTTGTTTACGACAAACACAACGAGCCGGCACTTTATTACGATGGGGGTTCGCATGCTCGTTTACATTCCATGTGCGCCGCGTGCGCAATTAACCGCCCTTGAAGTCTTTCCGTCCTCAAGCGAACAACCGTTCCGCTGGTCGTGTTCGCAGCGCATCGAAAATGCACGCTAAACCGAGACGAGAATCGCGACTTCCAGGCGCTCAGGGCGAATCAGATTAACGTGAGTTGCGAATGCCATAAGCGCGGCCACGAGTGGTCCTCCAGATTCGGGCTGTGCATCGACGTGAACGAGTGCGTCCGAGGTACGCATAATTGTACGCGGAACGTCAGCGAGAGTTGCCTGAATATGCCCGGTCATTACGTCTGCGTCTGCCGACTTGGTTACGTCTACGATCCGGAAATGAGACAGTGCGTTCACAGTCCGGACATTGAGAGAGCGTTAAAGGGCTACGTGGAAGAATCGAAGGCCGCGAAAAGGAGAGGTCTGTTCGAGAAGATCGTCCGGACTATTACCAGATCTCCCGGAAGTAGCTACATTCATGGCTATGAAGTCAATTTTTCATTGATTTTAATTCTGTTGATCTGCAGTGTCATATAAACCTACCAATCGCTTCTGCTTCTTTAATTAAATATAAGAATTTAACGGTTTGTCTGTGTAATATTATAAATTGAATGTATGCTTCTCGGCCAAAAAGTTATTTATGTTCGTTGAAAAATATTCATGACATAGAACATGTGACAATAATCTAGAATTTTTTTTAAATGTTTTTAATTATACATTTTTTCCTGTAATATGTTTTTTTTTATTTTTACTTCGGAGATTCATCAATATTTTGTAACGCATAATATGTAATTAATGAAATATTATTTTATATATAAAAACGCGAGTAATTTGTTCGGATAGATACTCATTATAAAATTGCACTGCAAAACATAGAAAACAACTTTTCTTATACATTCATAAACTGACTTATGATTTGTTAGCGGAACAAAATGAGCAGAATTAATTCTAATTAATATATAATTTAATTGTTGCCCACTTATGTGCAAAGATATCATAACATTATAAATATGTAAATATCAAAAATTAAATATCGAAAATAATTCTTATATAAAGTTTCTTTATTATTTAAAGTTTTTTATATATTCTGTAACAACATACAAGAAAAAACTTATCAATCTTTTAATTTTGTGACATAAAATATAGTGTATGTGATACGGATGTACAGTTATAAAATGTAATAATAAATATAGATACATATCGATTGCAATACATTTTTATCCCTTTTATTGGCAATAAAAAATTCAACATGCCACTAATTAATGATTATCACATATACACCGAATACAATTTTATTTAATTACTGAATCTCTTGTATGGTTATATGCAGAATATTATTTTCATGTTAATTAAGATGTTCATAGCGAATTAATATAATGCTACAATACCGTGTAATTTACGCGGTAATGCATTTTCGTTGGTGAAAACAATTTGCAACGATATTACGATCGCTGTCTTATTTAATGAAATTAGTGTGTAAATTGTGAAAAGCTCGTCGACAACATTATTGTAGTTTCTATTACCGGATTAACACGGACGCTGCATACGGATATGAATCGTTTAATAACGGTACACGTGCACCCATAATCTATATCAGCACTATAAACTGCGCTATTACCGTTTAGAAATATCCGAGACCACTTAGGATGAACCGCAACGGTGCAGAAATTTGTACCCGTAACAATTCAAATTTTAATCTTGCCCGCGTAATAACGCGATTCCGTGTGTTTCGTACACCACCGCGAACGGCCCCTCCCTTAACGGTTATTTGTCTGGCTAAGGGAAAAACAATGCTCTCGAGTATGCCGTATCCCGTACTTAGCATAACGGTAAAGTAAGTAAGCACAGGCGAAGCTGCAATGAGCAGCTCGGAAGAAGCATCCGGCGTGAATTCTTAAAGACGTTAAAACTTGCAGAAAAGCCAATTATCCTTTGCATTTGCACTTCTGACCAATGCCCCGTCACTTCGGATAATCTTACTGATAAAATCTTTTTTAAAATTGTACTGCGATTTTCTCGCGGATCATTAAAGAACAAAATAACTTGTTCTTGGACAAATTTTCCGACATTACCCACATCTATATGCAAATACGATATATTTATAAATTTTTAACATTTTTTTTTAGAGCCAAGCAATAAAAACAAATGCATACCGTGGCACATACAATAATATTAAAAATCTTCATTTCCTCATATTTTATTGTACATACATCGAAATTATGTCATCGTCAATTTCGATGAAAATGAAATCATTGATTTATTAAACCTCGTGAATTTATGTCGCATTAATTGAACAGTTAAATCCCTGAAGCGTACTATATTATGTTTGCGACATAAACAATACAATTTTTGCGGTATGTACGTGTACATACGGAAATGAGTGATATGTTTAATGTGCTACTGTTGTTTCCGCTATTGTAAAATTTCACAATATAAAAAAAATATATCGTCGACGCAGAGAGAAATCTGTACATATGCAGAGCATATGCGTGGAACGTGTCCGAGTCGAACGATAAAAAATATACGTGGATCGAAGAGGTCGGCGATGCTGTTTTATTCATCGACGTGATAGAATGGCAGAACCGCCATGTCTTTCCGCCAAAGGAACTCTCCCCGCTCTGTGTAATACATAAATGCATAAAAGTACGCCGGTTTTCCTTATTTCCGACGTATATCATTCGTCAAGGTATGATCGTCCGGTAATCGTTTATCTCGATTTATTGAACGCGGAAGATTGATGACCCGGCGCATCCCGAGGAGCAATCGCTTTTCTATATGCGGACTGTATAATTTATTTTTACTTAATTAAGGGATATAAATAAAAAAAATTATCTTTTGTCGTCCTAATATTAAACTTCATCTTCTCTTCATTTCATTTAGTTGTCATTCTTATTCTTATATTCCTGATCTTAAATTAGGCTACATCTTTTGTGTGTTATGAGTGTTTCTTTCATTTTTCCTAAAATATTTTCTGAATATTATCATTGATAAAAACGCGTATATACATAAGAATTTGTTTCTTTTAATTGTTACTTTAAGTATTTATAATATAATATTATGTATAATACATGTATAATATTATGTATTATGTATAATAGTTATTACAATTAATACAAAATCGGAGAATCGCTCGCGATACAAATCGCAACAGTCACCGTCTCAATGTCGTTTCGTGAAGTCGTTTATCGGTGTCGTCAGACTCACGTCGTTCGTTAATTCGCTAGTAGGTACGTGCCAGCAAGCGCAATTAATCGCGCCCGTGCGTTACACTTTGGGTAGAGCGCGAAATCTAAATCCCTACGTATATGAATATACGTATAATGTGTATATGTATGCGAGTGTCCGCAGCGTAATGAGCTCCATGGGTCCGTGGGTTCGCTAAGCCCAAATGACTGAGCGGATCAGTCATCCCCTGTGGGAGCGGACTGAATAAATGAGAGGTTGAGGAGATATAGCGGAGAATACGCGAAGCGGGTGGAAGGAAAGCAATTAACGGTGCTCGTGCTACCGATCGTCGTTTTTTCCTTTTCTTTCTCCCCTTGCGCATCTTCGCAGAAGGCGGAGTGCACCGGCAGGGGAATTAAGAGAAACAAACTGTCGTCGGAGCGCGCTCTTACATAACTCGGCCACCGATTCCAAGAATCGCGATATCGCGAATACTTTCTTGCGATCTGCAGAGTCCTTAGTTACGCAACTGCGGTTATGCGTGTGCGCGAAACCGGTTCTTTATCTCGGTGCATTCACGCGAGAGCCGTTACGGTCTTACAGCACTTTCGGCCACACTTCTGCAGTTTTGTGCACGTGATTTCTAATTCAGTCGTAATAACAAATGCATGCAGGAACGACTCAGACTTTCGAAAGATTGTCAGAATGCTCTCTCTACGTTATGTTCTCGCGTGCGTATACGCGTTATTAAAATCTGCTGGCCTACCTCACTTTGTACCTTGGAAAAAAATCAATGTGAAATTCTACGATTGGAAATAAATAGAGAAAAAAAATATCGATAAAGATAATTAATCTTTTTATCGTTAAATCAATTAACATTGTGTAAAGGTATACTGTGTCGATGTATATAATTCATCAGTTATTAGCATATACCTGTTATTATGCATACTAACGAGATGTGTATGATAGATAATGAAATTCTAGTACAAATAATATCGGACGACGAGTACGGCTCATCAGAAAAAGTAATTAACGTGCGAGACCGCTTGTGCGCTCTCTGCATGCACGGTATCATTATACATATTATCGTTATTGACCGGCCTTTATGACGCTCGGCAACAGCCATCGCTGAAAAGCTCGCGGATTTTCATCCGCGTGTAAAACCACGGTTTGCTTCAAATTGGCTTGATTTTTTATTCGTAAACAGCGAACCGTCGGGCGCGATTTGTCGGGCCTGGGCATTGAAAACAACAGGCGCGCGCGCACGGACGGGCATGTATGAAACGAAACATGCACCGGAACAAAAAAATGCACATATTCATACATGGAAATACCACGGGTAAGGGAAAAAAAAGGGGCCGGGCGCGGCGCGACGTTACGGGGAAATTGCGCGTCGAATAGCCGGACGCGTCAAAAACCCGAATATTTCCGGCGCCGTATCTATTTGTGCCAATTGACCGTCCTAACATCGATTTCGGGAATCGGGCCTCGAATCGTATCCATGGAGCGTATCATTTCGCTATAAACTTCATGAGAGCACTTTTGGTTAAGTAGACATCTTCAGAACAAACGTAAATCAACATCGAGAATACAAAGAATTTAAATATTCTTTGTGGTTTTGCGTGTGTGTACATTTTTAAAATTAATCTTAACGAGAAGTCACATAATTATGCACATAAATATTTTAGTGCAACGCTTGCGTTCTGAAAATACGCATTCATGGAAAGTAACACGGTGCTGAACGTTACGTCTCATTAAATCACAAACAGAGATACATTAATTTTCTTTTCGTCTAACAAATATAATAGCAGTTTTTATTCGCTATAAAATGAAATTATCGTGTGATAAAACTGGATGCGTTTTCACTCGTTAATTTACTCACTCGTAAATCAGAGGTACACGTAGTGCCTGATCTAAGCGCAATAGAGCACTCGACCCGTGCAGTCGAAGCTACGGGTTTTATGGTAATGTAAAGCCCACGGTAACCGGCAATCTTGGTAGCTAGACGATAAACGTCGCTCTCATTTACATCGGAATACAAGTGACGTCAATGAGACTCCTTGCACAGCCAATTCCTTGCCAATTCAATTCCTTTGTCCCGGTTGATCGTTCGACACTTGCAACAACGAAGACCCCTCTCATCGAAACGGATCGCTATTCCGTGGCTAAATCAAATTGCCATAATACATATGATTTATTACCTAATTTTAATTTCATAATTTTCAATATTTATTTAATTAAAGAAGTATATTAATATAATTTACAAGTGGATTTCAAGAGAATCAATTCTTGCATGGGTTTGCAGAAAATAATCCGTATTGAAATAATAATTTAACGAAATAGTGATTCTTTTAATGTGAGAGAATTCTTCTTTTGAAACAATGTGCGCATGTTAGCTCGAATCATTCAATCGAAACTGCTTGCGGTGCTAAAGAATCGCTTACAGCAAGCGATTCGGCAAAAACATTGAAAACACATTTAGAAAGTATTTCGCACGTACATAAACTTTACTTTAATACATGTACTGCAAGAAAAAGCTGAATAATTTTGCAAATGTTTGAAAAACATATTAAACGCATTTTAAAAGACGCTCTAAATTTTCGTACCTGTTCGTAGACGTTTTATTCATTTACATGTATTCCTTTTACATTATTTATTAGATGTTTTTCTTTTGAATTGTTTAACACATTATCATTCAATGGATATTAATAATGTATTGTAAAAATTATTTCTACTGCAAATTACGCACAAATAAGCTACCGATGGTAATCCGCTCGTCGCAATCTCGAAATTGTGTGCAACCGATTTGACCGTTGCACCAAGCCAGAACGTATATAGCTGTCTCTGTTCCTCTCTCGCGTGTGATATTCCACCAGGTACTATCACCAGGTGGAATTGAGGTGCCTCGCGCCGCTCGCCGCGGTTTGCCTTTCAAACGGGCCCCCAGTCATCGAGAATGTCTCTGTGCGAGTGGTACGCGAACCGCGCGGTGCTCCTCACGGGAGTCACCAGCGAATTGGGACGCGCTCTGTTGGAGAAGATTCTACGGTGCTTACCGGACGTCAGGGTGTACGTCGTTCTGAGATCCCAAAACGGTCTCAGCGGCGAGGAACGGCTAAAGAAGATATTCACGTCGCCCGGGTACGATCCTCCTCGCGTTCCTCCTCGCGTTCGCCTTGTGCCTGTAAATCGCGCCGGTCGCTCGATATCGCGCCTTTTGTGAGCGTTAAATTGTGACCGCGATTCCGGTCGGGGGCGTGCGCCGAATTTATTCCAAAGGACATCCAACTGAGAAAGATACCCTCTCCATCCCTCCCTCCCTCTCTCTCTCTCTCTCTCTCTCTCTTCTCTCTCTCTCTCTCTCTGCGTCTGGTGGTTTTCCGCGGGAATTCCGGGAACGTGGTGCACCTTACGTTGGGAATCGATTGCGAAATTAGATTTTCGTTTCACGAATAGTATCAGAAAAAACAGCAATATTTCAAAAATTTTTGCAAGATGTATGTTATTACTTTTATTATTCTTTTATGCAATCATGGAAAACTACAGTGTTTGCATATTGCGGAAAATTTTCTCTCTCGATTTATTCATGATAAAAACACTATATATCACTTCATATGAATTTAACGTATCAATATTATGTGTCATACATAATATACATATTGTTCGTAACATTTTAACTCCATGCAACATTTGATATGTAAGTTAATATCCGAAAGTCAAATAAAATAAAGCAATTTCGAACCTTTCAGTTTGATCTAATTTTTGTACAATTTTTTAAATTTTCTTTTAAAATTCATATCGTTTCGTAATTTTGACAATTGAACATTTATCACAAACGGCATCGATTGAAATGATAGCGATGCATCATCGGTACGTTTGCGCGATCGCTCGTCCGAAATTGCGCGGTAATATAATGATGGAATCAAAAGGGAGATACAATCTGGAAGATAAGCGAGATACGATCATCAGACGTGTTTAGAGTCAGTCGCGCAAACTGGACTGCCTCGTTGGATCTCATGCTCGTCTCATCGTAATGATCGTCCGAATCGCGAAGATGCTCGCGAGGTAAAACTCGGCGCAGTTGCATCGCGCGACGGCCCTTCCCGCGGGGGCCTTCGGGGAAGAGGAGCGGGCTAAAGCTCGTAGAGAGAGATTTATTTTCATTAGCACACGCCTCCGTGCCCCCTTTAGAAAGATTATGAAGTATACGCCGGCCCGGGGTGCTTTTTCTCTCCCTTTCTTTCGCCCCCTTTCCCTCTCTTTCTCGCTCTCCGGCGCAAAATCCGCGACCGCGCGGAAAATTCGTCCGCGCGTTTTGAATTTCGCGAAATTAAAATCCGCGAAAGGATTGTCTTCCCCCTCGCCCCCCCCGGGAAATCGTAGTTACCGCCGGATCGCTGCGTTTTTTCCGCTTGAAAAAGAGGATCGCCCCGCGCGTAAATGAGAAAATGCAAATGGACGAGCAGCTCGAGCGTTCAAGGTGCAACCGCTTCAACGCTATTACGTTCGGCGAAATCGCTCTCGGCTGTGGCGGCTTGTCGGATTTTCATCGCCCTATTTGCGACTTCGCCTAAATTGTTCTGCTTAAAATAGTTACGGTGTTAATTGTAAAAATCTCCTAGGCAGGACTCGAAATGAAAAAAATGTCGTGTTTTTGTTTTTATTTTTCTAAAACGCAGCAAGTGTGTTGAATTGGAAAATATTCAAAAAATTTGCAAAATTTACTTTATATGTTTTAAATACATTTGCAATACAATGCATACATTTAAATTAAATGCATACATTGAATTTAAGGATTCGAAACATGAATTAGTTTCCAATTTGTATGATAATTTGTTATATATCTGTTCAATAAAATTATATTATTTTCTTTCTCTCGCAATGATTAACATGAAGAATTTTCGAAAGAAAGTTTTGAATTGCGTATTTTAATCTCCAAATGTTTCCCATAGTCGCATTCCGGCGATGAGCTCAGAAATGAGACTATGCGTCGCATAACTCGAATCTCTGTGTATTATTCGACAAACGCTTGACTTTTTTTTTTATTTATTAAACGGCGTCCGTTTCACGCGTTCTTTTCACGCCGCGTGGGCGCATCTCCATTTTGATGAAACTTCCTGGCAGTAAATTCCAAAGCCGATTTGCGTCACCAACGTTATTATCGTCCGGCAGGTATGAGCGACTGAGGCAGGAGATGCCGGGCGCGATCTCGCGCGTGAAAACGTTCGAGGGGAATCTGCTTTACGAGGATCTCGCCCTAAGCATCGAGGACAAAGCCTCGTTGAGAGAGGTCACCGTGGCCTTCCATGCCGCCGGACCGCACGACTTCTTCCTGGAATATTGTCAGGAATTACCGAAGCTCAAGAGCGTCGCCGTGGCATCCAGCATTTTCAGACATCGCGGCATGATAGCCGAGTGCCTGCAGAATGAAAAGATTCCCGAGTTACCGATCGCCCTGGTGCGTTTTCCCTGCGTCGGACCGGCTCACAAGGAGCCCATGCCCGGCTTCGTCGAGAGCCTCAAAGGGCCCACCGCCCTCATGATCGGCGCGGGCTTCGCGTACGGCGATTCGGAATTGCCAGCTGAGGTCACCCCGATAGACATAGCAGTAAACACGATGCTCGCGACCGCGTGGGAGGTCGGCACGTATGTATAAAATCTCATATTTTATGTTTTATTCTTATTTATATTATTACATTATTTCTTATTTATTATATTATTTCTTTAAAAAATTTAATTAAAAAAAGTTTTACTCATTAATAAAAATAATAAGAATATTTAACGGACCAAGAGGTGAGGATTTCAATCCAGCAACCCGAGTTTAAAGCGCTTTTCATTCTCGTTACTGTGTGAACCTTCCCTATGGCTACGTTCGCATTAATCAAACTTAACACGCCGTAACTCGTCTCATTGTAATAATTAAATTTCTGCATAGAACGTCATTTATCAATATACCTATTTACGCGAGGACTGTCAAGTCGCTCTTAAATATTACTTTTGTTTAATTAGAAAGAGAAAGTTAACCTGCAGTTAAAGCACGTTAGAGATGCTCACGTGCGCGTTCACGTGTTACGCAACGTCACGGTACAGTAACAATCAACATTGGTTAATTACAAGACGTGAACCAGAAAGTAGCGATCGTTATCTTCTCGCAGAGATATTATATTATACATATTGCGCAACCTATTGTTTTTTCTTAAAGCAGTTCTTGCTCAGAAAAATAATTATCGACATTGCGTTTCAATAGAATCATGCGCTCGAGAAAGACCTCGATATCTTTTTGTAAATATTATTTTACAGATCAATATTATCAAAATGACGTCAAGCGCAAATGAAAAGTTATTAGATAGAAGAATAGTATTACTATAATTAGGATCAGTGCTGCAATTCTGTTTTTACGTACCAAAAGCATAAAATGCAAAATCGAGAGAAATTAAAGAGCACGAAAATCCGTATAAAATCCCACATATATGAATTCGATTATTTATCGATTAACGGATCTGTGAAAAATAATTTGTTTGATTAAAAAGATTAAATTATTAATAAAAAAAGCGACAAAACCTTTCTCGCTATCCGTTGCCAGGCTTTAACATATCGAAATCGGAATTCGTTGCAGACGCGGTTTATCTAGTTTTCCAATGCGAAATATTGGATACGGGCAAACACGTTTTACATGTGCGCGCGGTTTCCGTGGCTGTTACTGTTTGCTCGCATTCAACGCTTCCGCTCCAATTGTCTAAAGCGGAATTCGTTCTTTTCGATTTTTGTTTGAGATTCACCCCTCAATCCGTTGAAAGCATGATTACTCCCTTACGTCTTGACGTAATAATAAATGCTTTATATTGGAAAAAAGCTAACGAATATTTCGACAACTTCTCTAACAGTTATGTGTAATACAACCGTCAATCAATAAATGGGCATTCATTGTATTAATAGAACAAAACTGTCAATATTTTTTTGAATAACGTTCTTTTTGAATAAAAAAAGAATTTGAAGACTAATTACAATAAACAATACATTGTCTGTGTCCTATATTGAAAATATAAATGTGCTTATTGCAGGTACTTTCTGTTACTGTCAATTTTTTATTCTTTCGTTTCAACATCAGTTCGCAAAAGATTTGTAACATTAGCTGATGTACAATTACCCGTTTCAATTTCCATGGCTATAGCTGTTTATTAATTTCTGCTACTGCTAACCCTGGGATTAATTTAATACGTACGTGATTACAGCGTGCCGTTACGTTAAAATCGCGCGATATTAAAAAACACAGTATTTTATTTAAATTGATGATCCGCGACAAACGTGCTATTAAATTTTAGGCAATATCGACGAAAAGCTTTGTATTTCTCGTTAAAAAAAAAAACATCTTTTCCACGTGAATTATGTTTTCGCAACTTTTACACGGATTACAGCGGTTATGCGATTTGTGTTCAACGAAGAAAGCAATTATCAGAGATTGTGTGCAAAACGGTAATTGAAATCAATATATAGTGTCCCATCTGCCGCTCGACAGAAATAGTTACTTGCATCAAGTTGATTTACAAAGTAATCAAAGATACACAAATGATGCATTGATTGTCACGTATAGATTCTGATCGACGCGAAAAGTGATTCACGCGGAGCGTGAAAATGAATCTAAGATCCAGATTAAGCTAGAATAATATTGGAACGAAGACGTCGACGCGCGTATTAGATCGCAAGAGAAACGATTTAAATTTCCATTAATGATGATTCCTCTGGTCAAACTTTTTTATCCGCTTTAAGGTTTTAATTAGACGGTATAACGCACAACGAGAATCAAGTCGGACTTTTTAAATCGCAGGCTTTATTTAAGTCAGCCAACAACGAACCAATCGAATGAAACTTATAGCTAGGCTTTTCCGGGCTTTTCCTAGAAAACCCGGAGAGCTTACGTTTGATTCTAGTTTCAACCAGAAGCATCTCTTCGCTTCGCTCTGAAGTATTTCCGAACGACTGAACTGCGAATAAGTTGATTGCATTCGCCTTGCAAGAAGCAAAGCGCGCTATATCTGCTTCTCGCGCCTTCTCCTTTCGTTTTTACCCATTATTCTCGTATTTAACAAGAGTTACTAGTCAGAAATACGATTAATTATTGGTAATTGTTAAAAGTAGTACTGCTTAAGTTCTTACAAGGAATAGATGTTGTAACCCTGAGTTGTTACCTTCATTTAAAAAAACTCTAACAATAAATTATCTTTTTTGTATGTACGAAAAATTTAACATTTAATTTTGGCCTTCCCTTACCTGAATACAATAAAATAAATTGTAATAAAAAAATTATACAGTTTAATATAATAATTAACAATCAACAATTTACTTATAATTATGTATAAATATAAAACAATTATAAATCAGTAAATTGGAACTGCCAATGAATAAATTAAAAAATAAAGTCCTTTAGAGTTATACTGTTTTTTGTTTCGTTTTGAAAAAACTCGCCAAATATAAAAGTAGTGTTTACTTTTATACTTACTTATTATTTATTCATTCACACTTATTTATTCACGTTGTCACTTCCTTAATTATTATTGTTTAAATATGGCTCTCATAGACTCATCGTTGCAGCATTCTTTTGTATGAAAATATAGGCATTACCTACTTTTGCATCGTCTCTGAAATATTATCATCGCAGAAATCGTATTCGAAATAATAATCCGTTTTCTGATAAAACTTTTTGTTTGTTTATATTTCTATCTTTCTCCTATAAATTCGTCAGTTACTCAGAAGCAATCAAATGAATTATTCCTATCATAATATACGGCGTAGATATTCTAACGTTGAATATGACATGAAGAGATGTAAAAAAACGTTTTTTTTTCTAATAAAAAAAACGTTTTATTTCATTGAAAAACACAAATTTGGTTTTTTTAAAATTCCGATAGCATGACTAATTAATTGTAAACAGAAATTATATAATTATATAATTAATTTTAATATGCTCTACATTTAACTTTTACAAAAGGGGAATCGTTTTAATTCTTTTTCTAAACAGCTTTTCCTTAAGTAGAATTTATTACAATTATTCATTGAAGTCTTGGCCACGTCGCGATTAACCACGTGTTGCAATTGCCCACGCGTTGCAATTGCCCACGCGTTGCAATTGCCCACGCGTTGCAATTGCTCACGTTGCGATTGTCCACACGTTGCAATTGGCCACGTGCGATTGCCCGCGTTGCGGATGACCAAAAATAAATTAACAAAAAATACAAATTTAGTTTTTTCTAATTCCGATAGCACGACTAATTATTTGTAAATAGTAATTATATAATTAATTTTAATGTGATCTACATTTGACTTTTACAAAAGGAGAATCATTTTAATTTTTTTTTCTAAACAGCTTTTCCTTAAATAAAATTTATTATAATTATTCATTAAAGTCTTTGCTTCAAAATATGTTTCAGAATCAATATATTGGCTTTCTCGTTCTGCGTAAAGATTAAAATGATGATAATTTAAATCTACTATCTATAAAATAAAAAATCATGAAAAATTAACTTATATTAAGCAAAATATAGATATTAAATCGATAGCTGAAAAAAACGAAATTTTAAGAAAAAAACGAGGTTTATGTTTTTTTCTTATAAAAACATATGTTATGAAAAAAAAACCAATTTGGTTTTTTTCTATTTACATCTCTATTGACATGGTTTCCGTGTGTTTACATTTTGAACAATACTTACAAAAAAGTGATGACATAAATAAATAAGTGAATAAATAAGTAATAAGTACAAAAAGAAAATCTATGTTTTTTGTCTTTTTTGCAATTTTTTTTAAACAAAGCAAAAAACGAGCATATCTCTAAAAAACTTTTTTTCTTAGTTTGTCGATCCCCTACAGGCTTCGGAAGTTTGGACATTTAAATAAATTTAAATTTGGGACTCTTTATTTATGTTTGAATTTAAAAATTTTGTAATATATTTTTATTAATTTGCGCACTACTTACCGCGCCAAGCTGCTATTGCTTTTGTTTTTTACTTTTTTGGATTTATATAAATATAATTATATATCAAATAATCGCGAATAAAAAATACCTACGTGAGCAGTTGTAGGTGCGTGAATCAATAAAACATTTTACAATGAGTAAAGAAAGTACTTGTTTAACAAGGTCACGAACACAATATTCTCCTTTGCAAGGGCAATAGCCAATGAACCAAACACTGGATTCACTATCGTTCGACACGGGAGTCATGGAACAGTGAATCCAGCGCAAAGTCCATTGACCATTGCCATTGTATGAAAAGAAGAATATTGCATTTATATGAATGGTTAAACAAGTACACTCTTTACTCATTGTAGGTATAATGTTTTATTGATTCACACACATATAGCTGCGGCGGCCCACATAGGCTTCGTGATATTCGATTTATTCTTGGAGCCATTGTAATTATTTTCTAATTTATTAATGATAATTATATATTATATCTGTGGTGTGCGCTATTTACAATTTGCACAGATATACGGGACTCAAAGTTTTAACGCCGGTTCTGAACGGCCTAATTAGAGGGGTTCTCGTGGCAAGATATATTCTCGATGGTTTGCCATTGTCTGCCGAGAGGTAGAGCGATCGAATAAAATCCAATGTTTCTGATGGGATTTGAGCCCGGGTCTTCGGCACAGAAAGCAGACGCACAACTTTCTACGTCACGATCGCTACTCCGTATTATAAAATTATAATTATATAATTACAATTAAATAAGTCATAATAAATAAAATTATAATGAAATTCAATACTTATAAGACAGATGCATATACGCACATGCGAATTTGCCTAAAATTATTAAATGAAACATCGTTTTAAATAAAATGTGTGAAACGCGTCGCGAACGAAACAGTCAATTATTGCAAAAGGTCAAATTATCGTCAGATGTGCAAGGCACATCATGATCTCTTTCTCATGCATTTTCTCATTTTCGCGCAGAACCAACGCTACAAAACCGATCGCCTATAACGCGGCGCTGATAGGCTGCACGTGGGACGATCTGATTAAAAAGAGCCGACGGGCCAGCTGGACGTTTCCCTATCCGACCTTCGGAATCCGCGGAATGACGTCCATTGAGCCGTTGTACTGGATTTTAGTGCTGCTCCTCGAATGGCTGCCATCCTTACTCTGCGACATCGTCTTCGGTCTATGCGGCAGGAAACAGAGGTAACACGGGACGCGAAATTTATCGCGAAATTTCACGAGTCACGAATTTATCGTCACAGCTTCGTCAACGTCTTCGTCGGGCGCGGCCCTTTCGTAGTCCCGCGGAAAATTCAGCGCAGCCATTTTTATTGCCGTCACTAACTTTGCTATAAAAATGATTTAATATACCTTTGGAAAGTGTCGAGGCTACTCTTTTCCGTTAACTTTTAATCGCAATTTCGCAATTTATTGATATTTTATGTAAATAGGACACGTAAATTGCGAGCGAAGCGCTATCGTTTAAATAGATGTTACACTTTAACTCTTGTGTTACGTACTCTTTATACTATATTAGATACTTGATGATCGAGAGGTCATGGATAAGCTGCTTGTACCGGAGTATTGTCTAAGTTTAAAGTTGGTTTCGCGCAGCGCTCTTCTGCAACAGCTGGCAATATTAAATTTGCTAGCGATATTAACTTGTTCGACGAACGCAACACTACTAAAGGCACTAAGTCATTTTCCAAGAGCGTAACGCTTTACTACTTGATGTTACGGCTCAATTTATAAGTTATAAATTGCTTATACGTTGCGTTAAAATATGCTGCTTAAAAATTAAAACAGAAACTCCACATAACTTTCTTAACTAATTATGAAACCGTCAATTTCAAGACAATTATTTCCATTATTACATTTGTGTTAAAATATTACACAAAGTTATTATTTATAACAAAATTCATGTCGAATCTGCAATTTCCGTACGCTTCATCGCTTATATAATATGACGATTATAAATTCAAGGGATCGCGCAGGAAGATCATAGCTAGTATTAAACCTCGATGCACCCCGGAGATAATCCTTCGTTGCGAGCATTAAGAAACGATTAAAGCCGTTCATACATGAAGCCTCGAACTTCGGCCGATAACTACTCTCGCGATCGCGAGTAAGTTTCCACGAGGAGACTCGCGCGAAAGTTTGATCGTGATCGCGAACGCTTACGCTCGGTCTCTTCAACTTTCTGCATCGTGAAAGGCCCAGCAGTGGCGCAGCACTCGGTTAACGCACGCCGCAAATCGTAAAAGTAAAAGTTATCTGGAACTGCAATTTAGGCGCGAGTAACGTAAACAGGTTCGCCGACTTTCGCTCGCGCGCGAGTGAAGGCTGCGAAAAGGAAAATTGCGTCTTCGAACGGAAAAACTCGTTTCCCCGTCGGCCGCCAAAAGTTACGCCACTCGATGCCTGATTGCTTTGAGAAATGAAGTCCGACGCCGCGACAAGGAAACTTTCGGGAAATCTTGACAGGCTATCCCATCGAAATTTCGTTTTTATGTGCCCTTAGAGCGTGTTCAGGCGTGTCCGATTTGTTACGAAAGCGAGACCAGCGGTTATTTTCGACGGAATTCTCGCTCGAACAGTCGCCATTGATTAACTTTTTAAGAAATTATTTCAAAAAAAGTTTTATATCAGTATTAGAATCTCAAGTAAATAAAATTGACATTATCATTCACACATTTCCCTGCGTGATTAGAAGAAAAAGGAAGAACAGGAAAAATAAGATTGTTTTAGAAACCGATTCGCTCTATGGATCGAGTGGTGAACGAAAATATTTTCGCTTTCGGCGTTTGTGTCCTGTCAAATACTTTTCCAATTTTTTCGTTTGCTCTCACCAGACGCGTGCAGAGTAAATCTTGCGCACTAACTTAGCCCGAGATTTCTTCCTTCTTGAAAGGAAACTCTCTCGTCGCGAGTTTTCCGCGATTTCTTCGTAATAAGTTGGATTGGAAATTATATAGTTTGCGACGGACGGCGAAAGTTTTTTTATTATCCCGCTCGTACTTAATGGTACTTTGCGATCCTGTTTCTCTCGGGACTGCGATTGAAATTATTGAAATTGCTGTTTAAAAATCAATCTCGGGAAACGCTTCATTCGTTCTGCCATGTGTGCACACGTCCGCATATACTCGAGAAAAGTACGGTTTCATCTAAATATTTGAAAAAAGATCCTTCGACGCTGGGGAAAAAGTAAGAAAAAAAAAGTCGCAAATAGTCGAAATCGCTAAGAGTGCCAAAAGGATCGGGCGAGGCGGGCATTAATGGCAGGAAGGAGGTAAAAAGAAACGATCCTGAAGGTAAAACCTTTACTGCTCCCCAGGATTCTCGCCGAGTACGACAGAGTTCGTAATGCACTTCAGCCTTTGAAGTCAATTTCATCGAGGCCGTGGCCAGCGGAAAGGAATCGCGTGTACCTGCTGCAGGAACGCCTGACGGGGGAAGAGCGGGACATATTTCCGATCGTCGCAGAGATCGACATCGAGAGTTATGTCCTCTGCGCCGCAGCCGCCACCCGGAAGTACTGCGTGAACGAGGACAATCTTAAAATCATGAGAATGATTTATATCTTCTTCTTATACGTGCCCGTGATACTTGTCGTCGCGTATATTGCATCGCGTACACTTTTGTCGCGCGCATAAAGTTATAGATAAAAATTATTACGTCCTTTTTTTTGTATAGAAAGAGGCTTTCTTTTTGCAAAAATCTGTGAAGGAAAGAACATATGTTGTATCTATGAAACAATCTTTATACTTTGGGCAGATATTTTTATAATAAATAATCACGTGTTTGCATAATTATATCGCAGCTTGTAGAGTCAAACTTCGTTAAATCAAACTTTAATTTCAGTTTCTACATTTTTATCTACTCAAATGATCAATAGTATACGTATGTTATATCTATTACATTTTATCATATCTAGTACACTTTGTATTAGTCGTATATAGCAATCTATATATATGTATCAATAATATGTTAAGATAATATTAATAATAACATGTATTCTTTTATTCATTCTTCTCAAGTCATTCCAACGCGGATTCTTTTCTGGCATAAGGAAAAGTATCTCGACCATTCGCGAGGTCTCTTCTGAAGGTATATTCGGCTGCAACCCGTACGTAACGCTGTGCAAATATTCGTGAGAGTTGCACGAGACGCCTACATGAGGAAATGACGTTTGGGTGAAAGTTTCTAGGCACTGCAGTATCAACGAAGATATATTTCCAGCACGTTCTCTCTTATGCAATATCGCTGTGCTGACTTGCACTCATTCCATCGAAAGGGATATAAGGAAAACACAGAATATTATTTGCAGATTTCGTATGTTTCCTCTTGAGAATAGGAATGTGCGGAAAATTCCCGCGAAAGTTGCTCAATGCAACATCGCGCTACAAGAATCACTTTGCTTAGAGGCCGAGTGTGAAGGTGCGACGCGACAATAGTACTTTAATAATCTGATATTTTAAAGCAATAATGTATATTAATATACATTTATATATATATATTTTTTTTTATTGCTCTAAACTGTCGTTATTCAAAATATTATCATCGTGTTGTATCTACGCACATTCGATCTCGAAACAATCTCGATTTCTCTACCGTTTAATTTTTCGCCTTTTACAAATAATTATGTTTAATTTGTGATAATTGTTAACAGTTTCGGCGAAAAAAGATATACATTTATGTGCGTAATAAATTATTATTAAACAAATGCAAAAATAAAATTGTACATTGTATATAATAAGAGATTTATTTTTTCTTTCTCAAAATTATTTTCTTTTTTTCCATCACAGTATCTCATCCGCGTTTAAACCGTGACGTGATGTAGTAAAATTTATATTATCTAATACATTAAAAAACTCCCGCATAATTCGCTTGAAAGCTTCCAGTTATTTTTAAACTCATGCAAATTAAATTCTTTTATCATTTCCGCAGTAACACAATCAGGACAGTGACGTCTATCTTACGGTGGGATATTCTCATCACTAACGTAACGTACGTCATCCCGTTTTTTTTTTCGTTCTTCCGTTGTCAGCAAAAATTTCGTTCGCGTGACCAGCGTGGGAGTTTGTGAGTCGAGTTATGCTTCCAAAATCCTATTACGTGAAATTTAGCAAAGAAAGTTGCGAATTAGTTTCGTGAGATATAATTGGATGTGGTGGATGGGTGGAATTGTGCCTTCATAATAATAATTGGCAACGTCTATTCCGCGAGACGAAGTTTCTCGCTGTCGGCGAGAAGCCGGGCTGAAAGGTTGAGAAGCTAAAAAAGAAGTCGCAGCAGATAGTGAATGAAAAGAATGAAATAACGGGTAAAATAGCACCGGAAAAGTAAGGAAGGATCGTAAAGCGGAAAGGACGTGGTGGGTGTACATATTCAATTTAACTCTAACAGGTATGAATAAGATGTATATATCCGAGTAAATATGTATGTGATTGCTTCTCTGCAAAAGTGAGTTATGCCGGCGTGCAGCCTGGAACGATAGAATAGCACATTCGAGAGAGGGAACATCAAAGGCCCTTTGTAAATCCATTCAACGCTTCTTATTTCCATAGAACCGTTTCGCAAAAATCTCCGCAACTGATAAGTGCAGATGAAAATAGTTTTTCGCGCGACAACGTTGATAAATATACGCGAGAAATATCAGTAAATTGATAACATTTTCTTATCTATAGTCCGACACAAATTTTTTACTTTCCTTGTATATCAAAATACGAAACTAAAGCCAATCTATTCTACATGTGCATGATTTATTTTATATTTCGCTAAACAATTTCTGTCGATATTTTATAGGAAGATTGGTGCATTCTTGATCCTTTTACGAATATCATCATCTATCAAAAAGTGACATGAAATTTGCCAGTACTTCTGAACTCCCTAATAGTTCTGTCATCGTCTCTCCTTGCACTCGCGCGACCAAGCGAACTGCAAGAATTATCATAACTCGACAGTCTTGAGAAACGAGTCTCTCTGTCTCTCTTTCCAGAGAGCGCCTCGCCATTTCGAGATTATTTACCCCAAAGGTCTGTAAAGTTTTCTAACAGCTGTTGCTGGGCGAACCCCGCCCCCTTCCTCGATCTTATTTCGCCTTCACCTGCTACGCGAGCTAGAACAGATATCTTTCTTGCTTGCAGAAGTACTTGAAACTCTCAAGCGGCAGTTACCCGATGTGTTTCTGCACCGTCCGCACGCTCGAATTCCGCCGGAAATTTCACCGAAAACTGAAAAGCCGTATTTCTTACGTGTACAACGTACGTGTAATGAAGCGAGATTGAAATAAACGGAAGTTCCGGAGCTACACAAGGACTATTTTTCTTCAACGATATAGAACTACTGTGCCAAAATATACATATTGTAATAATTTTTACGCGCAATACACTAGTATGACTCAATTTTTTCTCACATGTTATGTATATATTAACTCATATAACATTTTTAATAATAAACACAATTATTTGTGTGCACAGAAGAATTAAAAAATGTTCATAAAAATTTTTCACCAGAAACTTTACAAGTTTTTTTTCTCTCTGTTATTTTAAAAATTATTTTATGTAAATATATATTGACATTATTGCGTAATATGATTATCTCTATCAGATTTACGTTCCTATATCGGCTAATCAAAATTAGACCAAAAAATCGTCGGCAATATATTACAAACAAGCTGTACAACGAGTGTGTAACGATGTTATACGGCGGATATGTTACGTGACGAACGTGCACTCGAGCGGCGAACGTCATCAGCGCGAGAGATATTGCAGTAATAAACGTAGGGCGCACCTTCTTGGTCCGATTGTACCGGGCGAGATTAATTGCAGCCATTCTATTTCCTTGGTAACGTCGGGACTCGCAAGCTCGACCACAGGCAGACGGATAGATACAATGGTCGTGCGTGGCTCCGGAATCAAGTGGAATACAAGGAAAGCGTCTAGCGCGGTCCGTCGTAGCGCAACGTTATTTTCCCTCCTTTTCGTTCAATTAATGGTTTCAATTAATGGTATTTGTAGCTCGCACGTACGAGACCGCGACTTAACCGTCCGCGACAAAATAAGACTCTCGAGGGGATGGAAAAGGCTTGTCGCGTAGTCGTGACTGCGGCGGAAACCACGTGCCATCGAGAGCTGTTCCCCGGTTCTCTTTGGCCCTTGGCACGTCTTCCTCCATCGCGAGAAACGACCCCTCGGCCATTGTACTTCTTAAAACCTCGACAATAACGACGACTATCCGGTGGCTCTTCAGGGAGTTTTATCGCGGAAGCGTATAATACGCGGCCGGAACGGATCGTCCGCCAACGAATGCGCGTATGTTTTGTATGTGTATAGTTGCGGTCTCGCGAATCTCGCCGCTAATGCAACATTCCATGACGATCTGACCATTTTTGCGGCACGAAGAATATAAGAATCAAGAAAGATTTTCTCGAAATCTTCGTTCGCTTCGATACCGCGAGGAAAGGAGATATTTTTCTCTACAATATGTGAATGTCCCTTGATTCACTAATGCTTGCTTTTTGGAAATTTCTACGCTAACATTTGAACAGTTGAATTCTCGGTAAAGAAATAAGAGTCACAAGCTTAATTTATATCAAATATGAGAAGACAAATCAGGAAATTAATAATTGTAAAAGCTTAGAATCGAGGTAATTTGGTAGAAAATTGTAACAATTGTTTTGTGACTTCAAAAGATTACGTAAAAGGATCTAGCAGATTACACTGAACAGTTCAAGTAACATTTCCTATTGTTGGAGAGCTATCTGGGTATCTTCTTTGTCCACACAACGGAGAAACATTGTTAAGAGGTTGTAGAATTTATGTGGCGGTTAATTGGAATAAGGATACGAACAGGTTGCGATACAACTTCCGTTGTTGTTGCACAGCTTTGCCTTTATGGAGGGTACAACTCCAAACATTCTCAGTATCTTCCAATCTAGTAGATTAAAGAACGTAGATATAATCCCGGGGCACAGTAATTTCATTGCCGTTTTCCGAGTACGCGACTCTTCCTGCAGCCTTCACTCTTTGAGAATATAAGTCTTTCATGCGAGTTTCAACAGGCCCCGAAATTTTTATAGGAGATCGTGAATTTCTTTCGTTTAATCAAGCTGTGAAAGGTCTTAGGTATGAATCATACATTGGACTTACTGTTAGCGCCACCGACGACAGAGGAAGAATATCGAAGGAAATGCACGTCTCGGAGCCACGAACAAAGAAAGAACCGCGCGCGGAAGAGAAAAATGCGGAGTATAACCTGTACTGCAGGGAGTTCAGAAAAAAAAGAACACGGTAGAAAATGGTTTTACTCTCGTAACAACAGCGGAAAAGAAGGGCGGAGAAGTGATTTACGTACAAGCAGCAACTACCGTCCATGCCTATACGCGTGAACAAGGTGGCGTAAGGCGCGATATAGAAAAGACGAAAATTATAAACGGCAAGAGCGTTTCCTTGTACGAAGTTACTTTCTATCGCGGTCCTGAATTCGGGATTATTACGGTTTCCTGTCAAAATCATAATAATCGGTTGCACAATATATAAAGCTATTCAAGCGTCATCCATTAAAGATTGTTATTAAAGAATAAATTGCAATTGCAAAAAAATACATGTAAAGTCACAACAATTTTTGTTAAAAATATTACAAATTATTGTACTGTCAGAAACAGTGTTAAATCAGAGAAATCTGTCATCTATTACGAAACGCGAATGCTATTGTTTAATATTGATATAAATTTCAATTTAATAATGACGGCGCACAGAGTGGATTGTCCAGATTCGGGCAGCGTTAACATTTTACCCGAGACAACGTAAATTCCGCGAATGGCTCTCTAAGTGGAAAAGCTTTTCTCGAATGAGTGTGTTGCGATAACGTACTACGCTTCATCTACGCCACGTTAAACTAAGCTTTTTAGCGTTCTTTTCCTCTTTCGTTACGCAGCATCTGACGGTTTCTCGTCGGCGTCCGGGCGAGTAACCTGGGAAACTCGCCGAGTGCTAATTGAAAATTCTTTCTCACACCTACCTGCA